ATCAATCATAATTTTTCATTTTGTTCATTTTTTTGTAATTATGAGAGGTTGATTAATCATTTTTATTGTGGAGGGTGTTAATCATGGATATTATCATCTTCATTATCTTAATTTTAAAGAAATACATAAAATATATTGTTCAAAATAAATTGAAAATTTTTAAATTCTAAGTAACTCGACTTTTACTTTCACCAACCCCAAGTTCACTCTTGAGAGGGAGAGAGACGGACAACAGACTTAAAGAGTTGGATTAGACTTTGGAGACGATAATAGAGTAATGGACTAAATAGTTTTCTTAGGGTTTCATAATGATTAAGAGTAATGGAGGCAATTGGAATTTGAACTTTTATCTCACAACAATAGGATTTTTAATTAAGAATAAAACAAAATTAGAATACTAAATATAATATCAAGAATAAAATAAAATTATATAATATTTTAAATAGGTTTGAAACAAGTCAAAAAAATCCAACCCAGCCCAACCCATTTATTTAAATGAGTTAGACGGGTTGACCCATTTATTTAAATGAGTTGAAATTTCTCAACCCAACCTGCTAACTCTGGTTGGGTTGAAGTTGGATTAACGGGTTGAGTCATTTTTTACCACCCCTATTCATATCGCATATAGTTTATTTGTCATATCCCCATTAAAAAGGAAAGGTTCATATGAAACGTTGTTTATTGATCACATCTTTCAATCTGTTACGAACCTCTAGGTTGAGGTTGTTATCTCATTCATATATTTCCTATACATAAATCAATTAATAAGTTAAGTCTACCATTTAATTTAAAAACAACTTTTACTTTATTAAATTATAAACAATAATAAGTATAAATTGAGATGGGCACAAGTAATCAGTTGCTCGTAACTGATTCGATGGAACTGGCCTTACAATGCAACTGAACCTAGCCTTACTGATCGAAGGGTCGGTCATATAACTAGTCAATCAAACTAGTTACTAGTTTCAAAAGACAAACTAGTCCTATATCGGGCTTTGATTAACCAGTTACATAATCGGACCTATCAAATTTTAATGTTATGCCACATGTCAACCTCTCATCGGGCAATGGAGTTCCGTTTTTTTACCTTGGATTTGACTACCCTTTCTTGTCTAGGAAGATATCAATCACAGAGGCAATGGAATTTATATAATGATGGAAGATACCTTTGACATTACTTGCGAATAAAAATTCTTTTCCTACGCTCTGTAACTGTAAATTGGCATTTATTTTTTATTTTTTCTATAATAAAATAGATTTATTATATTTATCATGTTGCCCTTGGTTTTTTTATAAATAGAAAAGGTGATTTCCTTTGTTTATCACACCCAGTTCTCATGATTTCACTCGATTTCTCTCAAGTTGGAACATGTCGATTTGGAGGTGATAAAACGCATCATTGTGCCTGAGCAATATGGTTGCCTTGCCCATACACCGAAAATTAATTTTTAGAACATGTTTAAAACACCAATTTAATTTATCACATTTATGTTGTCAAGTCATATATGTGGTGGTGTGTATTTTTGATACTTTGTCTTGTCTATATCATAATTTAATGATAGAAGTGAGGATGGAAATTGTGAAAAACAACCATAGACGATGTTATATTTATATTATGATTGTTTTTTGTAGGGTATAATAGTCATTTGATCATGTCGACGTTTTTGTCGTGAAGTATTACAACTTACAAATCAGCATTTGATACACCAATAAGTGACTCAACCATAAGGATTATGTCGCAATCCCGTAAATTTACCCATATTGACTCCTTATGAATAATATTCCAACATAAATGTGATAACCGGATTCATCAGTTGTAAAGTTCGGGGTTGTTTTTGAAAGGTGGTGGTAAGTAGAGGGGTTTGATTTGTTATTATGCTTAAAATCATTTAAAACTCCCACCGCCTTACTTTTTAAAGTATGATTTTAATTGAGATTCTTTGATATATCTCATTGGAAAAGGATTTAAGAAAAAAAGAGTTGGTGGAAACATTTATGTGTTTGTTCCTTGGTGTGAGACAAACAGAAACCGAAAGAAGAGAAAAAGGAAGTTGATTATGTGAATATTGTCTAGTTACTTGTTAATTTCATCATCTCATTGTGATTAAGGTGAGTTCATTTTACAAACTTTCCTTATTTGGTAATTGAAATTAGAACCGTATGGTTCTTTATATGGGATGATATAAAACTGTTTTGGATGCTATAATTAGAATAATTGTGGGATTTTGATATGTTTATATCATGTGTTGGAATAAGGGTGACGTATCAAGGAGAGGTGTATTTTGGTTATAAAGATGACATATCAAGGAGAGGTGCATACCGGGATCAGGGTGGCACATCAATGAGAGGTGTATACGAGGATAAGAGTGACACAATCAATGGAATATAAAATCTGGGTTTTTGATCAATCTATAAACTATTGTCGTGTTCTTATGATGCAAGGACTTGAAGTTGTCGCATCTGTGTGATGCGATGACTTAAAGTTATTGCATCCTATTGATGTGATGTAGAGTTCTTATCGCATCCTTCCGATGCGAGGAGTATGTTTTTCGCACCAGTGTGATGAGACAAATTGGTTTATCGCATTCTATTGATGCGACAAAATTGCTTTATCGCACCCATATGATGCGATGAGATGAGGTCATCGCACCAGTGTGTTGCGAGAAAATGGGATTGTCTCACTCATATGATGCGAGAAATTTATTCATCTATATGATGTGATGAGTTTTAACAAAATGTGTTAAATGAGTTATTTGGTTATCTAATACAATAAATTGGTGATGTCTCATCTTTTAGATGCAACAAAAGGGGTTTGCTTTATTAAAGTGTGGTTTTTTTGTTATTATTACAAACTTGAGTTTATAAATGTGATTTGATGATTATCCATCCTGTAATAGCCAACAAAGGGATTTTTAACTAGATCTCAAGGTTTAATCTTCATTTTGTGGTGTTTTAAAAATGTGCATTACAATTCGGACACAACTAGATGATAAGGGAAAAAGAAAATTATGAGGAGTTATATTTTGCCTGCATGGATGTTAGGATAACATGTTATCTATTAAATTAGAATACTTGTTATGTATACAAGTTTGTATAGTGATTTTGTGGAAAACGTTGGTAGCTACTTTGTAATGTAGCTTTTGTATTTAATGGGACCAGTTGTGTAAATTATAGTTCTTGTTATATGAAAATATATGTTTATATGCAAATGTCATCTTAGGGTGTTACAAGTTTGGTATCAGAGTTTGAGTTTAAGAGATTTAGGTATTCAACATGATTTCTAGAGTTAAACTGTATTATTTGCATATTAAGGGTCCCTGACATATGTAGAACATTTGAAATAAATATGATGAGTTAAAAAACGATATGTAAGGTAAATTCAAATTACAACTGGCCAATATAATTATGAATTTACAGGTACAGATGGCAAGTCACTCAAAAAGGTCTGAAAGGATCATCCTCATCAGCTCGGACGAAAGGGATAGTCACCTGAAAATGTTCTTACAAACCTACCAGCAGAAAGAGGCAGAAGAAGAGGTCGGGGTAGAGGCCGTGGAAGGGGACTTGGGAGAGGAAGAAACAGTCAACCTGAAATTCAGTCATACCAGGGTGGATCCATTCAGAAGAATGTGAATCAAGAACCAATACCACATCCTAGGTATGTTACTCGAGATATGTTAGCGGAAAAAATGAGCAAGATGAGAAATACTCTAACTTCTATTCTGGGAGTACCGGTCAGGGTAGAAACATAGAGAATTGAATTATATCCACATGTCCAATCTACAAATACTAGAGGGGGCTACAAAACTTGTAACATAAAACTAATCAAATAAAAAATATAACACGTTATCCTTAACATCCCATGTAAGATTATATGAATTTCTCACATTTTTCTTTTCCGTTATCCTCTGGTTGTGCCCGATCTGTATTGCACATTTTTCAAAACACAAAAAATGAGGGTTAGACCTTGAGATCTAGTGAGAAATCCATTGCTTTGCTATTACAGGGTGAATAATCACCAAAACATATTTATAAATTCATATTTGTGTCAATAACAACTAAACAACACTTTAATAAAAACAAACATCTTTTGTCGCATCAAAATGATGAGACATAATCCAATTATCGC